ATTTAATTCTTTTTTAAATAGATATGTCAAGTAGACAAAAATTAAAAGCAACGAATGATATATTTGAAATGATATCAGAAAATGATGAAGATATTAAATTTGATGACTGTGGAATTTTAAAACCAGTTACTGTATCAAAATCAACGATTGTTGTTGTATGTTGAACGATTAAAAAAATTCTTTAAAATTCTATTTTGTTTTTATTCTAGTCAAATGATGATTATCCTCATTCACCTACACCAGAAACAACACCTATATGCGATAGTGATAGTATGAATTTAGAAAAAAACAAAATATTTATATATATTGTTTTATTTTTTTTCAGAAATTTATTGCGGTCCCAAACGGTGATTTATCTTGTTGTTTAAATATTCGTGATGATATCGAGTTTAACACTTTCCCGGTGTTATATTTATCATAGAAAGAAATCTTTGATGAGAAGAATAATACTTGTCAAAATGGCATGGCAAATTGAGTTCGTTTTTCTTTTCTTTTTCATTGTTAAAAAACAATCCCTAACCTACACAATCAATGGTGCTATCATACCTATCCGTGGTGGTGTGTCATTGTCTTTGAGTGTATGTTCATATCATCAAAGATTTTCCTTTTCTTTTGTCACTTTTACTGTGTTTTATTGTCGTATCCATTTCTGTGGTACAAACTTTTTTTTTCTTCGTGTTTAATACCTGTATGTCAATATTTTTCCAGATTTGACATTGTGTCAGTGAGTGTGTACGTGTGACAAAAATTGAACAGTACGAAACTAAATCAGAAAACAAATATATACATATATATATATATAAAGAAATATTAGAAAACTTTCAATTAATGCAATAATTACATATATTTTATATCAGGATAAATTCCACGTGTTACAAAATTCAATTGATCGTTTAGCGAAGATAAGAATAAGACCGAAATAAAGAAAAGTGAATTTATTAGTTGATTTCCGTCAAGCTCATAATCAACATCTACACATAATTATTTATATTATAATTGGTTAAACTATCAAATCTTTACTAGACAGGATATATTTAAACGATCATATTCATTCATTTTCGTTTGGAAACTCCAGGTAGATATATTAAAGTTAAGAATTATTTGGACGATTCATTGTGAGAAAAATTCATTTTGTTGCTCGACTAATTTTAAACAATAGATAAATATCAGTTGAACGATGGTGATCAATAAATAGGAAAGTAATCTGGTATAAAGATTGAAATTTATGCAAATAATATTGATCTAATTTAATAATAGATGATTTAATTTTTAAAATTTGGTTTATCTCAAGAATATAAATCATTCTTAATATTAATCATATGAAAGATTTTGTATTATGAGGAAAAAATAAAATAAAAATGTTTATGTAGTACATGAATTCTCATAATAGATTAAATAATTCAGTTAGTTGTAAATAATACACTTAAAACGAGCACTTGATCAATATATTGATTTACTCATAACTTACTAAAGCAATATATAACTCGATTTACTTTCTACAAAAAGTCTTGTTAATTAAATAGATACAAGTTTATCTATTCAAAATAAATGTATGGGAATATTGTTATCTATGAATAAAAATATTTTCGATTTTTGATTTTTTTTATTATTTTACAAATTATTGAGATTACCGACACTTTAATAAAAAATCTTTACTTATCGAGAGCTTTTTTTAAGAAGAAATTGTTTTGTTAAAAGTCAATGAGTAAGATCATAATTATTTTGACAAGTATGTTCAATCCAATTACTATGTTTTCATATTAATCCAATGAAGACAAAAAAAATCTTAAAGACTGATTTTCAGATCTAAGTAGATTTGACATTATCGATCTCTTGCCTACGGCCATACCACGTTGAACACACCAGTTCTCGTCCGATCACTGAAGTTAAGCAACGTCGGGCTCGGTTAGTACTTGGATGGGTGACCGCCTGGGAATACCGAGTGTCGTAAGCTTTTTGTTGTTATCGAATTTAATTAATCAAAACAAAATTTCTTACTGAAGATCTTTTTACTTTTCGTTCGAAAAAAAAATAAAACATTCAAGTAAGGCACAAAAAGAAAGCTGATAACCATTGTAAAAAAAAGTATAAGAACCGATAATATGAAGCGCATACACATGTATGTATAGTAAAAAGAGAGAATAAGAAGACAGATGACTATTAAAAAAAATGGCCATGTACACGTCTCGGTATTGAATCCACATGGATATGTTTAACAGGAACGAAAACAAAAAATATATTATCATTCAATTGCGTTTTTGATTTACATAAATAATAAAACAAAACAAAAAAAACAGATACGATATGAGATTCAATGACTACGGTTATTGCTTGAAGCGTATTTATATAA